AACTCCTTACTCCAGCAGTTACTAGTTGCTTTTAGTTCTTTGTCTAGTAGTGGGACCCCATGAGAAATTTCCCCTTCCACATCGACATAGCCATTGATATTGCCATTGTTCCAGTATTGTATATAGCCATTTTTAGGAAAGTCTATTTCACAGCAGACTTCCTGGCATTCTGGCTCTTACAATCTTTCCATACCTTCTTCTGCAATATTCTTTGAGCCGTGGAGGCAGGAGTTGTGATGTAGATATATCCATGGGGCTGGGGCTACCCGTGATCTGTTGATCTCTACATTACGGCCAATTGTGGTTTTCTGAGATGGTCTCCACTTGCTGTAAAGAAGTGATGAGGGGTGGTAGCTACACTTACCTGTGGGTATAAGGGTAAGATTTAGAATGTTGTAAAGAATTATGCTGGTTTAACAAAATGGAGGTAGAAGATTCTTTTCTAAAGCCCATGACCTCACAAGCTGGCTAGGTTTACCGGTATGAGTGACACTTACTGCATCTTCATGCATATATTGCCATGCTGGTTACTGCTATGGTTCAAAGGCGTTGCAGCTAAATAGGCCTGCTTAATTGTTTCTCTCCCTTCACAGATTGCATAGTTTTTTTTTTTTTTTTTTTTCCTGAAACCAAGGAAACTACACTGCAGGAAAGAAGCTTTCAGGTCAGGTCCAAGTAGAATCACTGAATCCTATGTCCTAAGTATGCAGTGTCTTCAGCAATTGGGGCCCATCCTCAACTCCTGAGAGGCAACCATGAACACTGATAATCTGTATTGTTTGGGAGATCCTGGATTCAAATCCCAGCAGTGCCTTTGTACAGCCTAAGAGGATGAATTTCAAGACTTTTGTTTTATGTGGCATTTCTTTAAAAGGAAGAAGAAACAAAAGAAACTAGCAACAGCAAAATCCAGACAGGCTATTTGCTCACACACCATCAAGCCAGCATATCTGAGATACCTACACACTAGTGTTGATTGGCAGCACTGTCACCATAGCTGAGTCACAGGACTCCCCTAGGTGTCAATGGAGTATATACACACAACGCAATTCTTTTTGGCCATAAAGAACGAAGTTACATGATTTGCAGGGGAATGGATCCAACTACAGATAGTTACATCAAGTGAAGTAAATCAGTCCCAGGAAGACAGATATATGTTTTCTCTGTACTGTAGTTCATAGATTTTATATAGCATTTATAAGATCGTGGGTGTAACTACGACATGAAAGTAGAAGCAAGTCTAAGGCAACAAAGAAGACTAACAGGGCAGGGAGGGGTGGACAGGGAAGGTGGGGGACAATGTGAGGGGGCATGCTCGATGTATGACATACACACTTTTACAAAGATGTCCTCTTATAACACAGTACCACATTCAATGAATACACAAAGTAGAAATACATTTTTTTAAATCCAGATACATGTTTACTGCTCTAATAAAGAAGGAATATATCCTTCTTGGGGGTGTTGAGAAGATGCTGTTTCCATATTGATTTTCTTCCTGGCAGCAGGGTTTGTATTTCTTTTGGATAACTCACTAACCCCCATTTCTACCATAATTCTCACCACATGTTAGGCATCCAATAATGTACTATGAATGACTGAAAATGTAGCGAATGGTGGACTAAACGAATCTTGGCTGAAATGTATCGCAGTGGTACAGTAAATGCTTAGTGCATGCATAAGGCCCTGAGCTCACTCCCTAACAGCAAGAAAAATTGCTTGTTTTCCATTAACATACAGTGATTGCATAAAATGTCTCACTGTGACATCACACAACTTTGACTGTACCCCCGTTACCCTCATTCTACGTCTTCCATTGGCGCTCTTTCCATATAGTCTGTCACAATTAGTGTCAGTTATCAACTTGACACACCTAAGAAGAGGAACCTCAGCTGAGGAATTGCCTTCATCAGATTGGTTGTGGGCATGTGGGAGACTGCTAGTTGATGTGAGAAGGACCCACCCATGCCCACTGTGGGTGGTCCTATTCATGGGCATGTAGACCCCCACTGTATGAGAAAGGTAGCTGAGCAAGCCAGAGGAAGAAAACAAGTAAATAGTGTTTCACCATGGTCTCTGCTTTAGCACCTACCTCAGCTTCCCTCAGTGATGGGCTACAGCCTGCAAACCAAATACACCCTTTCCTTTCCAAGTTTGTTTTGGTCAGTGTTTTCTTATAGAAATAAAAAGCAATCTAGAGCAGTCTCCCTTCTGCCTTTGGGTTTGGTTTTACCAATAAAATGATGTTTATTCTTCTGAGTCTGGCTTATTTCATCTAACAGGGTGATCTCCAACTCTGGTTCCATTCGATTTCATTCACATGGTAGGATTTTGTTTTCTGTGGCTGAGTAATAATCCACTGAGTATATATGCTACTTTTTTTATGCACTTGCTTATCCATTGATGTACACCTAGACAGAGTCCATAACTTGGCTACTGCCAATAGTGCCCTAATAAACAAAGGTATGCAGCTACCATTATTGTATGTTGATTTTTTTAAAGATTTATTTATTATATAGGCAGTGTTCTGCCTGTATGTGCCCCTGCAGGCCAGAAGAGGGCACCAGATTTCATTACAGGTGGTTGTGATCCACCATGTGGGTGCTGGGAATTGAACTCAGGACCTTTGGAAGAGCAATCAGTCCTCTTAATCAATGAGCTATCTCTCCAGCCTTTGTACATTGATTTTAATCACCTTAGGGATATAGTTAGATCATATGGTAGTTCCATTTAGTTTTTTGAGGAAAAAAAACTGATGTCTTTACTGACTGTGCTAGCCAACATTCCCACCAGCAGTATATGAATATTCTTTCTTCTTCTTCTTCTTCTTCTTCTTCTTCTTCTTCTTCTTCTTCTTCTTCTTCTTCTTCTTCTTCTTCTTCTTCTTCTTCTTCTTCTCCTCCTC